TAAAGTAAAATAGGAAAATCAGCAAAAATTACCATATGTTGGTTTAGAGCATCTACTTAAATCAATATTATATTCAAACCTAAACAGCTCAAATCAGAGTTCTTTAAAAAGACTGAGTGCAGGGCCGCCTGGCTGGCTCAGTTGGTTAGGCGACTGCCTTCGGCTCAGGTCATGGTCTCAGGGTCCTGGGATCGAGCCCCGCATCGGGCTCCCTGCTTAGCAGGAAGCCTGCTTCTCCCTTTCCCACTCCCCCTGCTTGGTTCCCTCCCTCGCTCTCTCTCTCTCTCTCTCTGTCAAGTAAATAAATAAAATCTTAAAAAAAAAAAAAAGACTGAGTGCAGTGCTGTCTTTGAACATCTGAACAGGAGCTTCACTACGGATCAAGCCCCTTCAGTAGCAGCTCTGCCCAGTTATGGACAGGACACTGTAATTGTCACAGTTGCATCTGGGAAGATGGCTAAGGGCTCTGAGGAGAGATGTGGTGTCATCAGCATTCTTTGTATCTTCACAAATTAAAAAGAGTTGTATGGGATTCCAGAGTGCCAGACAGGGAAATAAAAGAAAAGCATACAGTTGCCAGTCTATTGTTTCACTTGTATTCAAGCCTATAAGGAAAATAATTCTCAGCTCATATTATATAGACTTTGGAAGTCTTACACCAGAGCAGTCAGCTATAAATTACGTTCTAATTCTTTACCTATGCAAGGTGAAAGACCTGTACTCTGAAAACTTTAACACTGATGAAAGAAACTGAAGACAATGCAAACAAATGGAAAGATAACCCATGTTCATGGATTGGAGGAACAATTATTGCTAAATGTCCATACTACCCAAAAGAATCTATAGATTTAATATAATCCCTCTCAAAATACCAACAGCACTTTTCACAGAACTAGAACAAATACTCCTAAAAGTTGTATGGAACCACAAAAGACCCCAAGTACCCAAAGCAATCCTAAAAAAGAACAAAACTGGAGGTATCACAATCCCTGATTTCAAGATATACTACACAAAGCTGCAGAAATCAAAACAGTATGGTAATGGCACAAAAACAGACATACAGATCAATGGAACAGAACAGACAGCCCAGGGGCACCTGGGTGGCTCAGTCCTTAAGCGTCTGCCTTCGGCTGGGGTCATGATTCCAGGGTCCTGGGATAGAGCCCTGCATTGGGCTCCCTGCTCGGTGGAAAGCCTGCTTCTCCCTCTCCCACTCCCCCTGCTTGTGTTCCCTCTCTCACTGTGTTTCTCTCTGTCAAATAAATAAATAAAATCTTTAAAAATAATAAAAAAAAAAGAACAGAGAGCCTAGAAATAAACCTATGATTATATGGTCAATTAATCTTTGACATAGCAGGAAAGAATAGGAAAAAGACAGTCTCTTCAACAAATTATGTTGGGAAAACTGAACACCTACATGCAAAAGAATGAAACTGGAACACTTCCTCAGACCATACACAAAAATAAACTCAAAATGGATTAAAAACCTAAATATGAGACCTGAAACCATAAAAATCCTAGAAGAGAGCACATAATGTCTCTGACATCGGCCATAGCAACATTTTCCTAGATATGTTTCCTACCGCAAGGAAAACAACAGCAAAAATAAACTATTGGGACTATATCAAAATAAAAAGCTTCTGCACAGCAAAGGAAACAAACATCAAAACTAAAAGGCAACCACTGAATGGGGGAAGATATTTGCAAATGACATATTTGATAAAGGGTAGTTTCCAAAATATATAAAGAACCGGTACAATTCAACGCCCAAAAAACAAATAACCCAATTAAAAAATGGGGATCAAGCCCCGCATCGGGCTCCCTGCTCTGCAGGAAGCCTGCTTCTCCCTCTCCCACTCCCTCTGCTTGTGTTCCCTCTTTCACTGTGTCTCTCTCTGTCAAATAAATAAATAAAATCGTAAAAAAAAAAATGGGCAGAAGACACAAACAGACATTTCTCCAAAGACGTCATGTAGATGGCCAACAGACACAGGAAACGGTGCTTAACATCACTCATCATCAGGAAAATGCAAATCAAAACCACAATGAGGTATTACCTCATACCTGTCAGAACGGCTAGAATCAAAAACACAAGAAACAACAAGTGTTGGCAAGGATGTAGAGAATGCACTGTTGGTAGGAATGCAAACTGGTGGAAAAGAGAATGGAGGTTCCTCAAAAAATTAAAAACAGAATTACCATATGATCCCGTAATTGCACTATTGGGTGTTTATCCAAAGAATACAAAAAGACTAATTCAAAGAGATATATGCACCCTATGTATATTGAAGCATTATTTACAACAGCCAAATTATGGAAGCAGCCCAAGTGTCCATCAATAGATGAATGGATAAAGAATATGTGGTATATATACACAATGTAATATTACTCAGCCATAAAAAAGAATAAAATCTTGCCATTTGCAACAACATGGATGGAGCTAGAGAATGTAATGCTTAATGAAATAAGTCAGAGAAAGACAAATACCATATGATTTCACTCATATGTGGAATTTAAGAAATAAACAAACAAAGAAAAAAGGAGACAAACCAAAAACCAGACTTCACTACAGAGAACAAACTGATGGTTACCAGAGGAGAGGTGGGTGGGAGGTGGGGGTGGGGTGAAATAGGTGATGGGGATTAAAGAGTGCACTTATCATGATGAGCACTGAGTGAGGCATAGAACTGTTGAATCAGTATATTGTACACCTGAAACTAATATAACACTGTAATGGAATTAAAATTTTAAAAAATAAAATAAATCCTTTACCTTTGCTGTTTATGTTCCTAATTCCACTTTCCTATTTATCTTGTAGCATTATCTTTTTTCCCCAGTTATTGGAAGACAGAGTTATAACAAACTTTTAGAATAGATTCTTCCCATAAGTTCTACAACTATGTTGGATCAAACATAAGTATTTAATAACTAAATAAGAGCAATACGAGAAATATAAGGTCAAAATCACTCCAAATCCAGGCCTTGATTTAAAATTATCTTCACTATTAGTATAATTTTTAATATGTTTTTATAGTTACTCTGCTGGATGACCTCTAAACATTATACACACACCATGTCAAATTATTCACCAAGTTACTCCTCATATGTGATTCTAGCACACAGAGGAAGAAGCACGGGAATCTCAGGGTTGGAAGACTCAGAGTCCTAGTCTAACACTTTGTGCTATGCATGTATCACCTTTACAACATTCCATTAAAAGCATCTGTTCTCTATTCTAATGTTGACCATGAATTAACTAGTTCATGCTTTATTTAATTTTCCTCTCTCTACTTCTACTTGTTAGATCCATTCAAAACAGTTCTAATCCATGTTCTATGCAACCACTTTTTCCAGCATTTGGCTTTCCCATTTCTAGAAGAAGAAACGGAGGGCCATTGGGTATCCACATTTTACTCTAAATAAAAGGTTGCAAATTAATGGTAAGAGTCAGTAACAAACTCACTCTATCCTTTGGAAAAATAATAAATAGACAAAATGAGCTCTCCAGAAAATTGTGCCAGGTTCCCCAGTATTCACATACCCTGTTAAAGCAGACAGGGTAAAATGGACTGCAAGGAGATCCGAAGGAAAAAGGGAAAAGAAGCTAAACTCTGGTATTTAGACAAGATCACTTTCTCAGGGTGCCTCCCAGGTTTTTGGACTAGAAGCACTTACGCCAAATATCTGCTCAGTTTCCAAAGAGACATCAGAGACAGCCTGGCAGGTTTACCAGAGGGCCCTTAAAGGCAAAGGTCATATACTGTGAAGTGTATAGAGCCATTAAAAGTTAATCACATGATTTCCACATGATTAAAAAAAAGTAGAGGAATTAAACAGTGGGAGAGGTTACTAGTTAACTCATGGCAAAACAGTATCAAGGTGAATCATAGACAAGTTATCCATAAAGACATTACAGTTTGGTAGTCTTGGGTAGTGGCTTTTCATGAAAAGCAGATGAAATGCTATATAACATAATTAGAGGAATTCATCGAATCAGACAAAAGGTCACTGGACATTCCTCATGACTTTCTGCAGTTAGCATCAGTAATACAATTGTGCCAGTTCTAGCAAACTTGCCTCAATAGCATAAAATAGGTGTGATTAGGTCTAATCATAGCCATATTATCTGCAGTAGACTGGGACCATGAACTAACATCAGGGCTGAACTAGGACTAAGTCTAATCACAGCCATATTATCTGCAGTAGACTGGGGCCATGAACTAACATCAGGGCTGAACTAGGACTAGTCTAATCACAGCCATATTATCTGCAGTAGACTGGGGCCATGAACTAACATCAGGGCTGAACTAGGACTAGTCTAATCACAGCCATATTATTTGCAGTAGACTGGGGCCATGAACTAACATCAGGGCTGAACTAGGACTGGAGTGTTGAGCATTACTACTGAAACTCAACATGCTATAAAACTGATGCTCATTAGACTCAGACCCTGCCCTACACCTGGGAGCCAGGTTCCACCAGTAAGGTAAAGAGATAAACAAAAAACACTGGAAGGATCCTCATGGGCCACTGTTAAAGGAAAGGGAAACCCTAAAGAAAGAGCACAATTAAATGTCCCCTCGGGAACTGACATTCCGTATTTCCTTTACCACCTATGAGGTAGCAAATCAACACTATTCCTTTAATAACAAAATAACTAATGTCTCTTGTATATATTGTAGAAGGATTTTTAAGTTCTAATAATAACAATATCTCTCATATAAGATTTAACATTATCTGTTATAAATATAATAACTGATATTTACTAAATGCTGACTACATGGTAGGCTATGTTGTTATTTACTACATATAAAGGTTTATGGTTTTAGGATAATATTATCTTGAATAATTCACTTCCTGAAATAAAAAACTCTTCCAGGCTTGTAACTGTTACTGAAAAAATATCTGTGATCTAGAGGAATCTAACATCACACAAATATTTACTTTTGTAATCTTTCCCTTTTCCTCTCCAACCTACCAATAAACATGAATGCTTCAAGTTACCTGCAATGTTTGAATCATCAACAAAAGTATATTGAAGCTATATAATTAAAAAATGCAGACTCGTAAGGAGCAGAGATTACATATACCAACACTATAGAACGGACAACTCCATTCTGCTTTGGAAGAAAACAGAAGGACAGGAAACCACAGGTATGGTACAGAGAAGTAGAATAGGAAAATGGTAATGTGCTCAATTTGCCATGACCAATATTTTAATTTCTTAGGGAGGAAAAAAAGTTTAATTTTGAAAATTACAGTAGAAAACATATTTATAGTTCTCAAAGGGTAATACGTATCATCAAAAGACACCAGTAAGAGAGTGAAAAGGCAAGCCAAAAACTAGGAGAAAATGTCCGTGATACATACATCCTATAAAGGACTCATAACCACAAGGGTAGTTCTCGAAATGTCATCTGCAGATGCCTGAGGGTCCTTTGAACCCCTCTCAAGGTGTCCACAAAGTCAAAACGATTTTCATAATAACGCTAAGATATTGTCTCTTTCACTGTGTTGACATTGGCACTGATGATATTTCACTTGTGTTGACATATGCAAAGGCAATGACTGGCAAAACTACTGGTCCTTAGCATGAATTAAGCTTATGATACCAAACTGTACTAAGCAATCCTTGTATTCTTCAATGCCAGGCAGTCACAATAAAACATATGCCAGTTTCATTTAAGAACGTCTTTGATGAAGCAGTACAAATTATTAATTTTATTAAATCTCAACTCTTCAGTATGTCTTTCTGATATTCTGTGGGACAAATTGGGAAGTATGCATAAAACATTTATGTTGCATAGCAAAGTATGTTAACTGTCTCAAGGAAACATATTTGTGTAATTGTTTGGGTTGCAAGCTGAACTAGCCCTGTCTTCATCGAACGCCCTTTTCACTTGAAAGAATAGCTGACAGACAAATTATGGTTATTCAGGCTTGGGTTTTCGGTAGGCATTTTCTTCGAAATAATTGAAATGAGCCTGCCACTTTAAAGAAAACAACTGACAGTATTAGTTGTCAATGACACAATTCAAGCTTAGAAACAAAATTTCAAATTTTGGAAAACTAGTATCTGCCGCCATGATATAGCTTCCCAATATTTAAAAGACTTTTTAACTGAGACTGGTGGTAATAAGTGCGGGATGTGCTTTTTGATACTAAAAATGTGCCAACATTGGGAAGATCTGCATAACTGAGTGAAACGATATATGCATGATGCTACAAAATCACATATAGGTAAAAGATCTATTCAAAGAACAAAAGAGATCAATGAACTTTAAGGTAACAGAATATGAAAAATTCATTGATAAGGTTTCAGATTCTATTTTACAACCAACCTTTACAAAACTATCCTGTGTCAAGTATTGCCATAATATCTAAGAATACTAACAATAATCTGAAAAGGCTGCTTTATCCAACATATCTGCAAGGCTAGATTTTCTCATATACTTTAAACAATTTATCACAACAGACTGATCCAGAAGCAGATTTGAAATATCTGACATTCTTCTATTAAGCCAGACATTAAAGTTGTATAAACTATAAAAGAATACCATTCTTCTCATTAAATTTCTTTTGTTTTGGAAAATGTAGCTAGTTTTCTTAAAAAGTATATTATTCAGGCTAACAGATAATGAGTATGTTATTGTTATTTGAAAATAAATATTTTCAAAATTACTCAGTCTCAATTTCAAATATGATAAATACTGATAGCTATAAATAGCATAAACGAAAGATCTTTGAATTCCCCAGTAACTTTTACTTTTTTTTTTTTAGAGAAAGGTGAGAGGCGGGGAGGGATAGAGGGAGAATCCACACCGGGCGTGGAGCCTGATGCAGGGCTCGATCTCATGACCCTGAGATCATGACCTGAGTCAAAATCAAGAGTCTGATGCTTAACTGACTGAGCCACCCGGGTGCTCCCCCCAATAACTTTTAATAGTGTAGAGTCTGAAGACCAAAAAGTTTGGGTATAGCTATATTAGCTTCCTATTGCTCCTATACCAAATTACCACAAATTTAGTGTCTTAAAACAATACAGATTTATTATCTTACAGTTCTGGGGGTTAGAAGTCCAAGACAGGTCTTATTAAAACTAAGACAACATTCCTTCTGAAGGCTCTAGGTAGGGGAAAATCTGTTCCTTGCTTTTTTCAACTTCTAGAGGCTTCTCACATTCCGTGGCTCCTGGCTACATCACTCTGACCTTTGCTTCTGTCACTACATCTCCTTTACTGTGACACTCTTACCGCCCTTTTATAAGGACTCTTGAGATTATATTAACTAATCTATATTACTTCTATATGCAATGGATATACCTCACCATTGTTATACTGAGCCTAAGAAATGACACAATAGAGTATATACAGTATCATTCCATAGATTAGCAAAACCAAGCTATGCTATTAAAAGTACAGACAGGGGCGCCTGGGTGGCTCAGTCAGTTAAGGGTCTGTCTTTGGCTCAGGTCATGATTCCAGGGTCCTGGGATCGAGCCCCTAGTCGGGCTCGCTGCTCAGCGGAGAGCTTGCTTCTCCCTCTCCCTCTCCCCCTGCTTGTGCTCACTCTCTCTCTCACTCACTCTCTCTCAAATAAATAAATAAAATCTTAAAAAAATAAAAGTATGGATAATGATTACCTTCAGGAAGAAAGGTACAGATTTGATGGGGGAAAGGCTAAAAGGGTCTTCTGGGAAACTGATAATGTTCTGTTTCTTGATCTGCATGCTGAAAACACAAGACTATCTACTTTGTGAACATTCTTCAAACTATATGTAATTTGTTTATTTTTCGATGTTTGTTATTCTTCAATTTAAAAACAAACAGCAGGGCGCCTGGGTGGCTCAGTCAGTTAAATGTCTGCCTTTGGGTCGGGGTCATGATCTCAGGGCCCTGGGATCAAACTCCCTGCTCAGCGGGGAGTCTGCCTCTCACTCTCCCTCTGTGCTCTCTCTCTCTCTCTCTAATAAATAAAATCATTTAAAAAATAAAAAATAAAAACAAACAGGAAATGAAGTTATTCCCTTTTCTAAAAGATGAACTATTTTTTCTAAAAAACTACATTTTTCCAGGGGCCTCTTAACTAAAACAATGAGCCACAGGGGTCACCATATCTGTTTTAAAACAGAGAAATATCGATATGATCAACATGGCACCAAAAACAGAGTTCTAAAAAAAATCCTCAAATTGTATACAGCTCTAGTCCAAAGCTAGGTTCACATGTAGGAAAAAATAGGCACAGAGGAAAATTACCTTTAAAAGGGTTTTATGTTAGACTGCTTGAAACTGCAGAATTAGGATCTGTCTATTGAAAGACAGCTTCCCTTATGATTTCAGCTCAGGTCATGATCTCAAGGGTCGTGGGATCAAGCCCCGCACTGGACTCAGTGCTCAGCAGGGAACCTGCTTGAGATTTTCTTGCTCTCGCCCTCCCTCTGCCCCTCCCCCTATTTGCGTGCTCTCTTTCTCTTCAGACAGCTTTCCATTTTCAGGTCCTTGTCACCTCTTGATCCTAACGTATCTTCCAAAGGAGCTATCAAGATACACACCGATTAAAGGAAACTTAAAATAAAAACAATAAACAGCATCTACCAAAACAGAACAAAACACACATATACAAACAAGGAACTTAAAACTTCCTTGCTTTGTTAGTTTGACAATCCCTGTAAGTATTGACAAAAGTCTCCATCCCGGAACAGTTAAAGATAGTAAATCATTTATTTTCAGAAATACTGTAAAGGCAATCAGATTATCCTAAATGAAATATAAATAACAAGTATATATTCTAAACAGAAACTCTTTTAAAAAATAGAATGCATTCAGGGAAGCATTTCAAAGTAGAAAATTCATTTTTTGGCTCTGTGTGTGTGTGTATGTGTGAGAGAGAGAGAGACAGACTCTAATCACGTTTTAAGAAAGTAGTTTTTCCTTGAACAGGGTCTGGACCTCATCTACAGCCAGGGAGCTAAAGCAACAAGCCTGCAGTTGCTAATTCAAAGTAGGAGGGGTCCCCAGGGGCAAGTATGCACCGTGTCTGATTTCCAATAATGTGTGTTATTTGTTTGGAGAAGTTCAAGCACTTACTAAACCATATTAAAACTGTGGCTATAAACCACCATGAAAGTATTGCAGAACAGTGGCATGTACCAGATTCCTATTCACTGAACTGTGAACTCCTCACCCCACAACATGTGCACTGAATGTGCTAGAGTATCTTGGCACCAATCAGCAGGCTCAAATTTGCCATCTTGTCGAAGAAGTAAAAATGTAATTTAGAATGACCTAACTGCAATATTCCCAAGTAGCAGTATTTTCTTCCTTGTGAACTTGAATAAACACCTTTGCAGTGTTTTCCCAACTTCATTCTCAATGAGATGGAACTGTAAAGCCAAATAAATTTACATGAAAGAGTAATAATAGAAAAGATGTCCTACGATGGGGAGCAGTCATCTGAGTTGGAAGTCACTGTTCCATGTGCCATATTCCTGTTAGGCCCATCCAGTCTCATCATGACATTCACTGGATACTTACTTAGTGCTGGAGGACATATTAAAAAGTCTTAAGACATTTCTTTTCTGCATTTCTTTATCATCTCTGTAACCTGAGAGATGATAAAGGGAATATATTTTTTTAAAATCCCTAAACCAATTGTTTAAGATAATATATTTTAAGTTTTAAGTAGAGAATGGAGACAATAAGATCTATATGAGTTGACAAGAAAGTCAAGCCCTTGGGATATGACTTGTGGGGAAGAGGGAGACTTGTCCAGAAAGACTTCACCGGGAAAATAGGCTTTGAATTGTATTTTAAAGGAAAGAAAGATCAAAAGTGAGATGAGAAGTCCCTCCAAGGAGAAAGAAAACCATGAACAAAAGTCTACAGTCAGAAATGAGCAGTATGTTTGGGAACAATGAACAGATATACTTGGCTGAAGTCAAGGATTTATGTGGAGGAATTATGGGAAATATATGTAATGTGAATAAGAGTTACCCTAGAAAAAGTATGAATCATTGAAAATGTCTGAGCAGAGGGTATGACAGACACACCAGTGTTTATGAAATACACATCGAAAATAAACTGGCATAAAGAGAAACTCTGCATTATGTTCTTCCTTCAGTGTCTGCATTATGTTCTTCCTTCAGTGACCACACA